CCTCAGAGTCGTCTTACACCTCTTGATGGCACTCTTCTCTCTGATGCTACCCTATATCGTCAGCTGGTTGGCAGTCTTGTCTATCTCACTGTTACTCGTCCTGATATTGCCTATGCCGTTCATATTGTCAGCCAGTTTATGTCGGCTCCTCGTACCCCTCATTATGCTGCCTTAATTCATATCCTTCGGTATCTCAAAGGCACCATGTTTCATGGTCTTCATTATTCCACCCGCTCCTCTCTCCAGTTTCGTGCTTTTCCGATGCTGATTGGGCTGGAGATCCTACTGACTACCGCTCTACTACTAGGTTCTGCTTTTTCAATTTTCTAAAAATATTAAGCTTTTTCGCTCCGACAATGCCATGGAATATAAAGATTTTGACTTTCTTTCCTTTCTTCAGAGTCATGGTACTCAACCTCATCGTTCCTGTCCCGGTACGTCTCAACAAAATGGACGTGCTGAACGGAAACATCGACATATTCTTGACACTACTCGAGCTCTCCTTTTGTCTTCCTCTTGTCCGGAACATTTTTGGGGAGAGGCATCTCTCACTGCTGCTTACACTATCAATTGTATCCCTACCCCTGTCATTCATAATCACACTCCTTATGAGCGTCTGCACGGCACCCGTCCTCCTTACACCACCCTTCGGGTCTTTGGCTCTGCCTGTTTTGTTCTTCTCCAACCTCATGAACGTACCAAACTTGAACCTCGTTCCCGCCTTTGTTGCTTCTTGGGCTATGGTATTGAACATAAAGGGTATCGTTGTTGGGATCCTCTCTCTCAACGGCTTCGTATCTCTCGTCATGTGGTCTTTTGGGAACACAAAATGTTTTCCTCTCTCTCTCTCTTCCGTTTGTCTGTTCCCTCCCCCTCTCTGTTTTTTACTGATCCTTTCACCGATCTGTTTTCTGATGATCTTCCTCCTCCACCCATGCCAACTTCTCTAGAGGTCGCCTTGCCTGCTGGACTGTCCCATGCTCCTGCTCCCTCTGATGGTCCTGCTCTTACTTCCTCGGCCTCCTCCCCTCCTGCTGAGTCTCTTCCTCTGGCTCCTCTTCTCTCTGCTCGACCACACTAGGTAACCCAACCTTCTACTCGTCTTCGTGACTTTATTGTTGGTTCTACTGCTTTTTCTACTTATGAACCGACCTCCTATCGTGAGGCTCGCTCTAATCCTCTTTGGCAGCAAGCTATGACTACTGAATTGCAGGCTTTAGCCAAAACTCATACTTGGGACATTGTTGATCTTCCTCCTGGCAAGTCTGCCATTGGCTGCAAATGGGTATACAAAATCAAGACTTGTTCTGATGGATCTATTGAGCGCTACAAAGCCCGCCTTGTTGCCAAAGGCTTTAACCAAGAATATGGTATTGACTATGAAGAGACCTTTGCTCCTGTTGCTCGTCTCACCTCTGTTCGCAGCTTGATTGCTGTTGCTACCTCCCGCCACTGGGATCTTTATCAAATGGACGTCACCAATGCTTTTCTTAATGGTATTCTTCTTGAGGAAGTCTACATGCAACCTCCCCCTGGGTCTGATTATCCACCTCCTAAAGTCTGCAAACTTCGGCGTGCCTTATACGGTCTCAAACAAGCTCCCCGCACTTGGTTTGCCAAGTTCAGCTCTACTATTCATGACTGTGGTTTCACCTCCAGCTCTTATGATACTGCTCTTTTTATCCGGAAAACAGCTCAAGGGACCACCCTGCTTTTACTTTATGTGGATGACAT